GTGTATGGGCAATGTTTGGCTATTTAAAGTAAATAAAATAAAGGAATATGCGTGGGGCTGAAGTCAAAGCATTTTGCAAGCAATTCTCAAGGGTGTGTGCACAATAATTCTATTTCTAGCTAAAACCGGTGTGCATGCATAAGCATATGACCCATCCAAGCCATATCATTATTTATCCCTCATTCCTTGATTATTTTACACAAACTTGGTACCATTAGAAAGCTTAAGTAATGTAGATAAATGTTGATGTTGATGAAAAATGAAATTAAAGCTTATAAGGACCTCAAATATTAGCACAGAAAGTGAAGTGCCTAGCTGGCCAAGCCTGACCATCTCTTGCGCATGCGTGCTGACTAGAAATGCTTGGCAACTTCAACCCTCCAATTTCTAAACTCAATCACTCTCTCCATAGTGATCTAAATGGAACAAAATTTGAATCAAAGTTGAAGAGAGAAGTTCAAACTTCAATTTTGATGTTGATCATTTTTCAAAATTATGTGTGATTCAACAAGAAAAGTGGCTATGGACATATGCCCACCAATTATCTGATAAAATTCCAGGTCTGGCACGCATGCTTGCTAGAAAAATGCCCTCTTGAGGCTCCATAACCTAAGCACCATATTTCTCTCCATAGTGCACCAAATGAGATAGTACTTGAATCAAAGTTAAACAATACGTTCTAAACTTCGTCTTTCATGTTTGGAAAATTTTTATTCGAGTCCATTTAAATCCTCAAAAATGGTTATGATGAATTCAAGCTTTATGTACATGCCTTGGAAAATTTACTAAGTGTCCAAACTTTCTAAGCCATATAACTTTCTCTCCTTTCACCTTTTGGACTTGAGCTCACAAGGACAAAGTTGAAGAACTTTTTTCCTCTTTCCAACCATGTAAAAGATTGCAATTTTTCAATAAAAAAGGAAGAAGTTATGAATTTTTTAAATTCAGCCTTATGAGTTTCCATACTTAGCAAATTTTCCAATTTCACCAAGATACCTTCATGAACAAGTTAAATTCAAAATCCATATTTCTCTTCAATTTATTTAATAAAAGGCCATGTGATGTTGAACCATGATCATTGACCTCAACTTTGACCATAAGTCTACTTGGTCAACAATTGACTTTAGTTGACTTTTGCTCCGATGACTGTTTTACCCCCAATTGATCAACTGAACCTCTTTCAATAAAAATTTATGCTCAATCCTTCAATAATAGGTGCTCATAGACATGTAAAGAAACATGGAATCAAGTATTTCCCAAAAAGTGAGAGATTTCACGATTAAATCCAAAACCTTAATTTTGGCCCTTTGTGTTAGGAGATGATGATCAAGATTCAAAACCCCAATTCTAAGGAGCATGATGAGAAATTATTTGAACAAAGATATCTCATATAACAATGACATGATGTTTCTCCATAAATTTGGCCCCCACAAGCATCAAACGCACCATCTGGCCAAAACCCTAATCTCAAGAGATGAATAGGTGAACACTGATTCAAAACCAACACTTGCAATTTCAAACTTATGATGAATCAAAGAGACAACTGAGATGTCTTGAGGCATGAGAAATCCTTGTAGCTTGAGTGACTCAAATATTGAGGGCATGAGATCCTTCTTGCTCTGATTGATAACAAAACCATCTTTCATAGCTTGTAGAGGAACTTGAGAACTAAAATACCTTGATCCTATCATAATGTATGAATGCATATGATGAAACATAAGCCTTTAAAGTTCTAAAAACAAGAGGGTAAATTTTGGGATGCAACAATATGGTACCAAAACTTCACTAATGACCAAGTCATCTTTCTCCAAAGATCCCCACCATAGGATTGGTTCCTGATTGTAACTGGAGTACTTCACAAAAATGCACTCAATCCACACCATGGGATTGAAGTCGTCACTGGACTAACATCCTAATAATCATCATTGGACAAATGCTTTAACATCGCTGGGCTAATTCCCTAACATATGACATGAATGCATGATGTGCAATAACATAATAAAACATGACCACTGCTAGTCAAAACGCGTCATCATTCATGTAATCCTTATATAATTATTTCCACACGGCATGTATACACTTCAAACATGAAATAATAAACTTCATTCATCAGAATAACATCAATTATTTTATAGTACAACATAGCATCATTATAGCAACATCAAACACACATCATAATAAGTCAATAACAGAATCATCCTATTCATCAAAATATAGGTACTGGAAAATACATCATAAGATTTGTTTCATCCTACATACTTATAGTCCATCGTGGTAGCTTCCTAACACTTTGAACGACGTGTGAAAGAGTCCTAAAACTCAAGTTACGACACTTTAAAAAAAATCATGTATGTTGCCCCTCGCTTGAGGCTCTCCCAGAGAAGCAGCTTGCTCGCCTGGTGAGGCTGGGGCGATAGCCCTTCCCTCATAAAATTTCCAGGAGCATTGTTTTTCTCCCATTTCCCTCGCCTCTCATTCTCCCAGCGAAGCTTACCTTCACCATCTCGCCCGCCCAATGAAGCAGGAGCGAGTGTCATCCTTCATACATTTTCGAGGAGCACCCAAAATCATAAGTCTTCTCGCCTTACGCTCGCTCGACGAATTAAGGGTGAAGTCACTTTTCCTGACGATGCAAAAGGCTCGCCCGACGATGCTGTACGACTAGGAACTTCCTGGTGCAATTTCTACATTGCACCAGTCCCAAAGTCCTTACAACTTAACCACATAATAGACCCATAATTCACGTAATTCACATGTTTTCATAGAGACAACAACAACAACACATCATAATGGGCATCATATACATCATTTAGTAGCATTACAACATCAATCTATTACCAATTTATTCATTCATTCCATCATAATCATCATGTTATCAGATTCATCATAAAACCCCAAACAACCTACATACATCTAAACCCTATATCAATCAAAATAATAAAGATAACCCCCTTACCTTGTATTCTCCTAGCAATTGATTCTTGTTCCAAGCTCTACAAATGGTTTTGTCTCTCTTTTCATCTTTGTGCCCTAGTTCGTCACAACATTCTTATCTCTTTCATAATTGCACATAATGATACACCGACACTCAGTTTTCCTTGTTTAACCCTTGGGCCTTTTCTATGGTCTTCCCATCTTACCCTCACTAATCCTCATAAAATTATCACCTTACCCTTAACACTTCTACACCATTTATTCTATTAATTGTATTAATAATAATAATTCTAAATAATTAAAACTAATTATCTAAAATTATTAAAACACCCAATATCACTTAATTTCCATTATATCGCACATAGCATCATATCACACATCATACTCATCAAAACGTCACATATACTCACAAGTACATCACAAATACTCATCATAAATAAAATAAAAAATTAAATAAATAATCTAATTATTTTGGGGTGTTACAATGTTGCTACTTCTGCTGGTGGAGTTTCTGTGCAGGATGTCTTGTCTGATGTTATGACATCTTGCCTGCTATGTGGAAATCCTAATGTGGGGTTATTTTATCTTCTATTATTGCTGTCTCTGATGCGTAAACTTGGGTAGTTCGTATTTGGTTTACTGGATTTTCAGGTGATTTGGGTTTTCCCTGTGATGGGGAGTCTTCATTATATGTGATAGAGGGAGTATAAGACATGTCTGATCTGTCTTGCTCATGGGTTGTGGAGTGGCTATGTTGTGCGATGTTAGACCATATGTCTTGACATATGTTCTTCTGGATTTTTGAAGATGGTTATATGTAATTGCAGTGTTGTCTCTGATACATTTTTATGGATGCAACTTGTACAAAGTTTACATGATTGCATGTAGCTTGTGTTGTGGTTTTATTTTGCTCTCCAGGGTTTTTCTGCATTGGCTGTTTTAGCCAAAATTTGCCAAATGGGGAGATTGTTAGTTCCATGGTTTTATGATTGGCTAAATTTTGGTAAAACATGGTTTTATTCCGATGTTGAGAAAGATGTTATAACATCTTCATCAACTATCATAATAATTTTACTGTTAAGTGTTTTAGACATATGTCGAAGACAAATGTTATGACATCTTGGCCAGTGTACAGCAGTCATTGCTGTTTTATATCTCATGACATATTTTATTTGATTTAATGAGATCCTTCTAGATATACCTTATCTAATGCACAGGTCAAGGAGATTATTTAGGAATAAAGTGTAGATATGATTTGTTTCATTAAAAAGGATCTTTGAGACTTTTTATGCAACTTTAAAAGTTTTGTTCCAATTTTTATGTGAAGATTTTGCAGCTGATTTAAAACTTGAAGATTGGATTTTATTTGAAGATTCCAAGCCCATACTGTAAGAGTCTATAAATAATAACTTGCTAGACCTATAATAGTAAGAATTCATAACAACAAACCGTGGGTGCAACATGAGGGTTTATGGTTTTGGGAGTATTTTAAGTTCTTTGTGTTGATGTTATTTGTATGTCACTCATGTATCTTTTGATGCATTGAGTTGACTGATTGTTGCTTGTTTATCAAGCTATTATTCTCAGTCATGAGCTTTTAAGTAAATAGTTAAGTATTGTTCTTAGTTGAAGCTTTTAAGAAAGACTAAGTATTGTATTGTAAGTGTAATCTTCTATTGGGTTTTTTAACTCTAGTTACAAGGTTTGTGGTTGTAGGTATATCAATGCGGTGTTTGGAAGTGAGATGGGGATCTCATATCTAGTGGTATCTCAGTAGAAGTTACACAAGTTAGTGATTAGGCGAGAAGTTGTAAACTAAGGTTGGTTTAGCTTTGCACTAATACTATCATAGTGAATTTTCTTCCTGGCTTGGTAGCCCCCTGAGTAAGTAACGTTGCACCGAACTGGGTTAACAATTGAAGTTGTTTAAATTTCTGCAATTTATATCCCTGCATAATCTCCAGATTTATCAAGTTTTCTGTCAACAGATGTTATAACATTTGTCACGACATCACGTTTTGTGTTGAAAAATAAGTTTTAATATTTATCTTGCAAGTGCCAGAATTTCACATATCATGCAAGGTGGTTGCTACACATCAAGAGATCAGATCAAAAAACACACAGAACATAATGTTGGAACATGTTATCCCACATGATCATTATACCTCCTTTTTCCTCTAATCTTGCAAAGGTATAAACAAAACAACAAGCTTCAGGATCCATAACACAAGCTTGAAAGGAGCAACAACCAACCAAACCAACAAGCATCTTCAGCCAAAAGACCTCAAATGGAACAAGTACCATAAAACAAGAACACACCGCCATATTTAACAAAGGAACATCAAAATATTAGTAGAAACAACAACATGTTAAGGTGAAAAAGCTCAAACATTTCTTCATCAAAAACCATATTAGTTATATCAACAGGTGCACAAATGTTGGACACAATGCCTGAGACATCTTTCCCAACAAATAACTTATAATTGAAACTTTGTAACCCATGAGGAATACGATCATTCTTAACCTCAATCTCCTTCATTAAAAAATTATAACAAGCTTAGGCATTCAACACCATTTTAAACAAATGAGCATTACTATGAAGCTCCATACATTTATTATACTCCAGTGCTTCAACATAATGTTCTCCTTCATCCACACTTATAATTTTCCCTTCTTCCTTATTGCCATCTTCTTCTTCTTCTTCCCCAGCTTCCCTTTCCTTAGTCATAATCTTGTCAATATATGGAACCTTTCTTCTTTCCAATAAATTAATAATTGAATGTGAAAGCTTCACGAACTTTTCTATATCATACACATTTTTATACTCCTTTTTTCATTCAACATTACACTCAGAATTAATGTTCATAATGAATTCCTTGACCAACTTTTCATAGCAAGGGCCAACATTAGTTACAATTTTTATTAACCCAGTTGCTTTAAGAAATTCCATAATCTCTTTACAATCAAAAACTTCTTTACCTAGCTTTCTTTCACCAATAATCCTTCTTTGGAGAACATACGTCCAATTTTTAACACTTGTTTCAGAATGTAATGAAATATTATTTATATGAGCAGAGGAGACATTCACTTGAATTTTCTTTCCACCAACTTTTCTCCTTATGGTGAACACAATGTCCAGGACATCTTTTTCATCATCTGTCCCAGAGTCACTTGTTTGAACAAGCTTTTTATTCACTTCAGATTTAGTAAGGGAAACTTGCTCATCCTTACTCAGAGTTGGAAACTCAGTCACCAACATGTCATACAGGTTGTCTGGCACATCCTGGATGACACCTTCACTACCATTTTTAATGATATACTATGTCACAATTTGAGCTTTTGGTTACTCCATAATAGTTTAGTGAAACTACTTCCAGAATATATAATTTGGGAATCAAAGGTGTAGTCTTTTATTTGCTTCACTTGATAATCATGAAAGTATGTAACATCTCATACCATGCTCCACCATCTTGTCTGACATGTCATCAACATAAATGTGAACTATCACAAGATTCTCATTGTATTTCATAATGGCATCCTCCAGTAGATGAATAACATCTTCAAATGTCAAAGCTTCTTTTTAAAACCTCCTTTCAAGGGCTATCCTTTTATGATACAAATACTTCCAATTTAACACATTTTCCTCAAAATGGAAGACACGTTGTCTAAAGGAGAAATAGAAACATTTATGGGAATATTTTTGTAACCAATTATTTTCTTCTTTTTATTGGGTGAAGGTACCATAATATTATGTAGAATGTACTTCACATTATCTCCCACATCTTCCACTTCACTTTGAAAATCATTAACAAACACTTTTATGAATCCCATCATAGACTTTTTATGCTTGTTAAACATTGTATACACCCTGTTATTAATGGAACACTCCAAAAATATCATTTCATTACTACTTACCAAGTTTTCACACAATATCTCAACATATTCCTCCACGTCTTCTACTGCATGATCCTTCTTTCCTTTTGATGCAAATTTTCTTTTCTCATTAAGGTTAGTAACAACACCAACATGAGCTACAATAATATCAACCTCAACATCTTCATGGACATGATCATCATCACTCATAGAATTAATCTCAAGGGTCACATAATCATTTTCCTTATAAATCCGAGACTCTATTTCCAACATGTCGGACAATATGTCTGACACAGCTTTACCAACATCTTGATTTCCAAGATTAGTTTATTGGGTCTCCTTAGGAAAAGACTTTTGAATGAGATGATAATTTCTTATAGGTTCATTCATGAGTGGGAAATCAAGCTCATTTTCACCAACAACTAGATCTGACTTGTCAAAATATGGAGTGTTGTGGAGAGAAATATCTGGAACATACATCTTATAACTAAGATTCAACAAACTAAGAGGAACAATAATATCAATGTCACCAAACACAATATCATGTTTGTGAATAGTGATAATTCTAGAAATATGAGAAGGAAATACAATAGTAAGAATTATTCCATAATCACTAATCTTCTTTAGCTTCTTCTTCTGAACCACTGTTGATTGTTCAACGTATGAGGACCTCTATCCTGACCATCAGTCTTCCCTTAAATGTTAACTCCTTGCATGAGTCTCATAAAGTCCATAAGTGGTAATTCAACAACATGGGTAATGTGTTAAAACATCTTGTATGACATCTTGGTTTACTTCCCAACTTGATAGTCCTTATAAGTTTTACCTTCCTCAATTTTGAGATCAATACACACATGACAACTTTCTCTGCAACAACCCCTAAGATTTTGTGTCATAGCTTAGTTAATGGACTAGTAATCATGTTGGACCAGATGTTGAGACATGTTACCTGACATTGTGCATTTTTCTCGAATAGGAGTAATACCTATATTCTTTGAATTTGATGGTTCACCAATATGTATAACCTCTTTCATGTGTTTGATAGTCACACCATTGTTTGCTTGATCAAATCCACCTTCTTCATCTATCTTATCCTTAATGACAAGATATATTTATCTTTGTATCCTTGAAAAGCTTGAGCATCATCTTGAATATGTCTAAAATCTTTGCATTTAAGATATTGGATCCAGTTGAGATTTTCACCACCTATTCCTTTACGCTGAAAGTTACACCTCTTGAAATTGTGTTGTTGATTGTCTTGAACATTTGTAGAGACATTATTCTCAGATAATATCTAGTTTTCTCATGACTTTACTAAAGATCTTAGAAAGCCTATGATTTTCTTCATTATCATAATCTACATGGTCTTCGTAATATTCATTTTTGTCTTCAACTCTATTCTTTGGAAGACTATTAATACCATAAAGTATCTTTGGTCTATGAGCTTCTCCTCCTTCTTTGAAATTCTCCATCTTGAATAGAATAAGAACCCTGGAACACACCCAAATAGAACATGGTGTCTACTATGATACCAATTGAAATGATGTCCTCATGAGGTCATATGTTGAACTGAATGTCTGGGACAAAGTGTACAAATGGTTTATAACAGATGATAGATTTTTCAAGCGACAGATGTCGGACTTAATGTTAGGGACATTGTATACCAAAAAAACATGTTTGCAAGGTAGATATCAAATAATAATTAAACAAGAATTGGGAAATATGTTGACCAGATGTCTAAGCCACTATGTTCAACATCTTAAACCAGAATTGTCAAATAACTGAAAACCAAAATGATAAATCATAAAGCAATAAAATATCACAAAGAATTATTAACCCAGTTCAGTGCAACCTCACCTACGTCTGGTGGGCTTCCAACCCCAGAAACAAAATTCACTACTTCGAATTAGTACAATTAGTCTTATAGGAACAACAAACCCATGTTATCCAATGCCTCTTCCTAATCCTAGTAAATTTCTATTTAGGACTCCCCTTAAATATGAGAACCCCTCTCACTTACTCTGAATCACCAAACCTAGTGATTAACTCAATAAACATAATATTGAATGTTGAGTTACAACTCAACTAACAAGCCAATCTTTATTCCTTAAGATATGAGTGCAGGCGCTAGAGTGGTGCATAAATAATAACACAAACAGAGATTCAAAAGATAAACCCTAACACAAGGAATCTTCAATACTTGGATACCTCAGACGTTAGCTTTAAGTCTCCTTAAATAGAAATGCATCTTTTGGGATTTTCTCCAATAGGAGATTGATTTGAGATCACATCCATACTTGTAGAGGATTCCGTTTTGATTTGTTTTTCCTCACAAAATATTTGATTTATTTTGATTTAAATTCAAATTTAGATCTCCAATTAAATTGATTTGATCTCATTCAATCTTTATCAAACAAATCCAAATAACATATTACTAAAGCATAGCAAAAAATCGTGTTGCATACATCCAAAACTTACACTCAGAATAACAACAATCATGGCCAAATGTTGCTCACATGCTGGATCATTAGGTTTGACATCTGCCCTCGTGACAAAATTATGAATCTTGAACAAATAAAATAAAATCTTTACTTGATATAGATCACAATTCCAAAATTCTCAAGTAAATGATTAAGATTAAATCTCTTGCTAAAACTATAGAACACTTCTAAATATTGGATTGAAGATCTTACCATTAAGTTAAAATACATATCTTGTAACTAAAACAAATCCCAATAAATCTTCAGCACAATCTTGGGTAAAATTGAACCAAATCTTTCTTCAAAGCATATCCAATTAAAAATGCAAGTCGAATCAAATATTCTTATTTAAACCAACTCTAAAACTTTTTATTTAATCCATATCTAATTAAATATTCTTCAAACTTATGGATTAATAAAACATTTTTAGCAAATCTTATTGAATAATATGTTGTAAAAGATACAACAACAAATAGTTCAGGTATCAAACATCAAAATACACAGATTCACTCACAAGTCTATGTCTACAGACTAAGGCCAGATGTTGCACACAATTATTGGAACATCTTATCCCACATGTTGCCTCTACACAAAATTCATCGTGTACTTATGTTGTTTTACCTAATGCAACCAATAAAAAGGAATAGTAATGAATTGGGAGAATTAGAGAGTCGGAAGGTGGTTGATACATCAATGGCTTAAAGGGATCTTTTCAGGAGAAGACGAGTTTAAAGACTGTATGCACCGTGGATGAGGAATCCAGTATAGCTTTGAAGGAATAATTGATGGATAAATACCCTCAAAATTCTCATCTTTTTGAAGGTATTTACCCCATAATACCTTTGAATCAGCATGTGACAAGGAATATAGTGAAACAACCAGGGATTCCGACCTTGCAATAAGAGGGCTAGTAGCTCCAAAGGTGTGCAGCGAGGTAAATCGTCAGTCCAGATGCAGAATAATCCATACTCTAAATCCACTAATGACATGCGTTATTATTGTAATGGAAGAGGTCATAAATCAAATGTTTGTCCAACAAGGAGATTCGTTGTTGTTGCAAAAGAAAGAGAAGAGAGGGGTGAAAGATAATTACTTATAGTTAAGAAAGATGAATATGCAGGGGAAGAATCTGATGAGAATGTAAACTTTGTGTTGCAGAGAATTTTACTAGCATCTAAAGATGAAGGGTAAGGCAGGAATTTGTTCAAAACACATTGTTGTATCAAGAAAAATGTGTTCCATCTGAATGTGAATAATGACAACATGGAGAGTCTATTGTAACAAAAATTAGTATATTATTTGATGTTGTCCGTAGAGAGTAACACTAGCCTGCATAATTCCTATCAACATCGAAAAGCATAAAGAGAATAAGTACTTTGTGATGTTCTTGATATGGATGTATGTCGTATTTTACATGGTAGACCTTGGCAGCTTGATAATGATATCACTTATTGAGGACAAGATAACATGATGATGTTTACATGGTACACATATTAAATTGCTATGGCTCTTGTTTTGCACTTTGATAATAATTAAGGAGGAAAAAAGTCTAGTTTCTTGGTGATGGCGCGAAACGAAAAGGAGCTTGATGAGGTTGTTAAAGAAACTTAATGTTTATGTATAGTGGTGATTAAATGGTTTATGAGTAATGTAAAGGAGGAAAAAACAATTCCATAAAAAGTGCTTGAGATCCTAAAGGATTTCAAGGAGTTGATCACAGATGAACTACCAAAATATTTGCCTCCTATGCAAGATATTCAACATCAGATTGACCTAATTTCGGAGTCTAGCTTACTAACCCTTCCTCACTATTGTTTGAGCCCTAAGGATAGTGATATTTTAATGGAGAGGATTGAAGATTTGTTGAAGAAAGGATTCATTTCTGAGAGCATGAGTCCATAGTTGAAGATTATCTAGTTTTGATACTCTTCCCTTGTTTCTTAATTGGTTCAAATTAGATGATATTTAAAATCTTCCTAGGTTTGAGATCAACCCGGTTAAAATATTAGAGGTTATTTGGTTATCTTATTAAACCAAAATTGAGCCCAGATATTTGGAACTTGAAGAATAACCGCTGCAAGGTCCATTTTCATGGAGAAAAGATGCAAACGCCCACATCATCTGTCTTGTAATATTTTGGTTGTATGACAAACACTATTTCCTTATATAAGGGGGTTTGTGAGTATTTCCTACTAAAATCTCTCAAGTATTATTGAAAACCCTCAAGACCAAGTTTAAGAAGAGAAGTAGGTCCTTTTTTTTATTAAACCTCTATAACTCTTGGTGTTCTCCTTCTTCCTTTAACTTTTTAATTTTTGCACTTTAAATATTTATTTTCCGCTGCCTAGAATTAGAAAATGTTTTCAAACTCTGATTTAACTTGCCAAAAGTTTTCAAAACCATATTTTTCCAAACCACATAATTCACCCACCCTCCTCATGTGTGTGCAGTCTCAAGTCCAACAAGTGACATCAGTTTCTAACTCTTATTTAAGGACTAATCGTCTCTGGAGGAAGATGACTTCTAACACAAGATCATTTTTAAACACACCACCACCTTTTGAAAAGATAGTTTTGATATTTGGAAAATCATATTTAAAATTTTTCTTCAAAGTATAAATCATGAGTTATAGAAAATCATAATCGATGGTCTGGTTTACCCTACTCATCAATTACATGATGAAGAAGTGGAAAAACCTTATTCTTTTTGAACTGAAGAAGAAAATACAAAAATAGATATAGATCTCAAATCCAAAAATTTCATAAAAATGTCTTTAGATGATAACAACCTTTT